ATGTAATCTATAATCATAGTTGATATTTAAAAAAAAAATTTTTAAAATAATTTAATTTTTGATAAAAATAAATCAAACCCAATTTTTAAAAACTTCTTAAAAATTTTAGCAGGCAAATTTGCCTGCTAAAATGGACGGTTTAAGGGATAACAAAGTGGTCTAGGAAATCTCAGAAAACATCATTTATCATATGTTAAAATATAGCAAGGCATCAGTAAGCCCAAATGACATTACCAGATACTCAAAATGCTCATAACAGGTTTGGAAGGTGGTCTTCCACTCATCTCCCGGTTGGATTCTCACAAGGTTGTATATGCTACAGAGATTAATTTTAGTAAAAATTCATGCAGAAGATAAGCGATATAATAACTCAGAAATGAGGGGAAGTGAGTATTTGTTTTTAACTATAATTTGATTTATCTCTTTGTAATTCACACACAACCTTAATGAACTATTTTTCTTCCTAATGACAAGGATTAAAGTGCCTACTTGAGATTTAGAGTGCCTAATAAATCCTTTATCTAAATTTTCTTCAATATATATCTTTAAGGTATCTAGCTTTTGCTCTAATAATTTATAAATGAGCCTCCACAGTGGTTGTTTATTAGGTAATAAGTCTATAGCACAATCATATAGTCTGTGTATAGGTAATTTGTCTGCTTCTTTCTTATCAAACATGTCATGAAAATTAGAATATTCCCCTGGAAGAGCTTGTTCTGAGGTAATAGCACTTTTATTCAGAGAGACAATGTGAAAGACATGAGCATGAAAATTTGATCATCTTGGTCAGTATGATCAGATAAGGAATCTTTTAATACAGGTATACGTTAGTAGTGATTCTTACATGCAGGGTCCGAAAAAATTAAAGAATGTTCATGCCAATTTATTACAGGATTGTGCGAAATTAACCAAGACAGTTCCAGTATAATTTTATGATGAAGTAATAAGATTAAATTAAATGCTATTTTTTCTTTGTAGTCTTGATAACAGAGTAACAATAGCATGGACTCGTGAGTAATAGCCCCGAAAAGATTTCCTAGCCATCAATTATCTCAACAAACAAAGAATAATTCTTCTTTTTGCAAGGTATGTGGTAAGTTTAAGCTATTATTGAATCTAAAAAACATGCTAAAGCGCCTGAATTAATCAATACATCAACTGAAAGTTGAGACTGATTTGGAAATGATAGGGTTATCACTAAGGTAAAGGCAGTTACTGAGGTATGTATAAAATTCACTTTCATTTGCGAGGCTAATTTTGCCTCCAACTGCAGTTCCCCTACTGCAGTTGGGGCTTCTCTTTTTCCAAATTCACTTCAAAATTTACTGTTATGGCACCAACCCTGTTTTGATTTTTGTTCTTTTTGAGACAGTTTTTTGCTATATACTCTGGTTCGCTACAATGGTGTCTTCTCTTTTTTTCGTTTGTTAAAGACCTTGGTCAGATATTATCTATTTGTATAAGCTCTGGAGAAGAGGTTGAGGCCTTAGGAACATTAATTGCTTGGCTCTAATTCTGAAAGAAATTCAATTAGCACTCTTGCTGTCTTTCAAATAACCTATTGTCACAATGAACAGCTTTCATTATAGCATCATTTAGTGTAATTGGGTCCTCCATAGATAGAAGCAAGTCCTTTATATCATCTCGAAGACTAGCTCTAAACTGATCTACTAGAGTAGCTTTGCCCCAACCAAGATTACCAGCGATTTGGCAAAATTTTGAAGTGTAAGTAGCAGCAGCTTTGGCTCCTTGAGTAAGTTTTCTAATTTTGTTAATAGCAGTTCTAGCTTTATTTGCATCGCCAAAGATTTCTTCGAATTTATTAATTATGGCTCCAAAATTATTAAGTAATGGAGAGTTATTCTCTAATAACAGAACAAACCAAGACAATGTGGGCCCTGTGAGCAAGCTTTCTAAGAGACCAACTTGGGTTTGTTTGTCAAGATATCAGTTGGGTTGTATATGGATAACCAACCAAACTTGGTTTAGAAATTTTCTAAACTTGTTTCAGAAACCATCAAATTTATCAGAAAGACTCATTTTGGGGTCTCTTTGCTGAAAATTAATTGCATCTTGATTCTAAAATCTCTGATTTTAAAACTGCTCAAACATGTCTCGAATAGCTGCATTTTTTTCACGAAGGGCCTGGTTCTCTAGTTGAATTTGTTGCAACACAGCTACAATAGCCTGAAAGTTTGGCTGGAGAAGGTCTTGTTAGGAAAGATCTAGTTAGTTTTCCATTATTAATAGTGGTTGCAAATTGGTTTGTTCTTGTTTGTTTTATTTATTTTTTATTTTTTTTTGTGTTTTTATTATTGTATTCTATTAAATGTAAATATAGAGTGTTGCAATTGGTATTGCTTGTCAACAAAGTTTATTAATTAGGGTGTCCAAGATTCAAACTGAAATGTGAAAAGTTGCAACCCGAAAACAAGAAAAGGTTAAAACAAAGCGATCAGTATCATTAACTAAGGCAAGGAAAGTTTTAAAAAGCAATAGGAGTTTTTTTTTTTTTTAACTATATTATTGTGTGTTTAGTATATTGGCAATAATAATTCACAATAGCAAGCAAGACAAGCAAAACTGAGATTTGATAATAGTCTGTTCAAACTGTAACAAAACACTAGATACCAGATCACAGATCAAAAAATAAAGAAGCAATAAAAAGAAAACAAAGTTGAGTAGTTTTATTGAACAGACTAAGGTTATGGATACATTTACTATTACTCTTTTTTTTACTAATCTGCCTTATTACTAATTACTAATATGATTTATTTATTCTTATTTTATGACTACATTTCTTATGTGACAATTATACTACTAATTTATAATTACATTTCTTATGCAATGGCAATACTAATTAATAACCTGATTAATGACTAACACTATATGTATAATGGTAATATTGGATTGGAAAATTGTGAGACTGATCTGAGTTACAAACTTGGTGGTTTGGGGCTTAGATCATAGGCCATTTTGCAGATCACGGGCTTGGGGCTTGGTTGGTCACAGGTAGGGTTGCAGATTATATCTATACTATATTATACTGCTGATATTATACAAGTATTATATATAGATAGCTAGGTATAATACCAGTAATGTAATATAGCCAATTAAATTGCTAGATTTATATCTTCGTAAACATGGTTTTAAATATGTATATTCTGATACTATCATTAAATCGATATTTATATTTCCAACTATTCTAATTACCTGCATGATAAATATTATAATCAAACATTTATTTGTATAATAAATCTTATAATTTTCAAGAAATTCATTCTAATTATAACAATCTTAGTTATTATTATCTGGTCGATTGTTTTGAAACCCACTTTAAATTTTAGTAAATTATGTAAAAATAAAACTTACTATATTTGTAATGCAGGTTTTATTTAATTTTAGCATTCGTATGTATAAAATTATTTAATTGTAATAAATTCTTAACAGAAACTTAAATATCTTAATATGCAGTAACTGCATAGTAACGATATAGTAATTGCATAATTACTATTAAATTTATATAATTACTATGCAGTTACTGTGCATTAAAAAATTCAAAGTTTCTATATAGTTACCAGTGTTAAAAAATAATTTAGCAAAACAAAAAAAATAATTAAATATTACTACTATAGAATAATATATATTAAAGTAATACTATAATAAAGAAAGATAAATTGCTTTTATAATTATTTGTAAAATTATAATAATAAGAATTATTTTAGTTTAAATAAAATTAATAAGTCAAACCGTTAGTAAGAAAATAATTAGAATATAAAACAAACATAAACAATAATAATTATAATACATATAATTATTATAAATACTACATTTATTCGCTTGTTAAATTATAATTAAAAAAAATTATATAACATTCTTACCAAGTGTATTAAGCTATTATTATTTTTTCGAATAAACTATCTTATCATTATTAATATGCTGCAAAAAAGTAAAATTTGGGATTATTGGAATATTTTGTCGTCCAAAGAAATAAGTCAGCTTAATAGTTGTAGCGAAACATCAAGTAATGATAAAAATGATACAGAAGATTTTGTTTTTTCTTCATCAAATACTCAAGATCAGAAAGGCACCAAAAAATTACATCCACCTGTAAAATGTAAATACTGCTCTAAAAAATTCAAATGCGGACTTGCAACTCGTATGCAAAGTCATACTAATAATTGTTATAATGCATCTGAATCAGCAAAGACTATCAAAAAACTGAAGCTGCAAGATTCAGATTTAACTCAACAAAGTACTATAGTGAGTTATGTTGATCGAATGGAATATAATGAAATATCAAATATAGATTATAAATTTGCTAAAGCAATTTATGCTTTGGGTATTCCTCTTAGTACATTTAAAAACTCTTTTTGGGTGGAATTTTTTTATACTCTTTGGCCATCATTTAAAATTCCTAATCGAGATAAATTATCAATAGAGTTGTTAAAAAATGTATATGAAGATATTAAAAATGATGTTAAATATAAAATAGATAATACACAAAATCTTACTATAGTTCTGATGGTTGGTCAAATGTCAAGCGTGAAGCAGTTCAAAATTTCATTATTTGTTTATTTAATCCAGTTTTTTATGATGCAATTTTTTCTGGAGAAGCTCGTCATACAGAGGAGTGGATTTTAACCCAAATTATTACAAAAATGGAAAAAGTAGGAATTCATAAATTTTCATTAGTTATTACAGATATGGTAGCTAATATAAAAGCTGCTTGGAAAATAATTGAAGAAAAATATTCTTATATTATTTGTCTCAGATGCTTTTTACATGTTATTAATTTATTAATTGGCGATATTTTAAAAATAGATGAAATTAAAATAGTTTTAGAAGATGTCAAAATGGTTGTTAAATATTTTAAAGATCATCATGTTTCAATGGCAAAATTACAGCGTATTCAAAAAAAAAATTATGGTAAAGAAATTGCTCTTGTTCTTTCTATAATTACACAATGGGTACACATTTTGATTGCATTAAATCTCTTATCAAATCACAAACAGTAATTCAACAAATAATTTATGATCAAAGTACAACATTATTAGAAGTACGAATTAAAGTGCAATTACATTCAAATGAATTTTGGAATGACCTTAAAGTTATCATTAGAATTCTTAAACCAATTGTTGCTGCTTTAAAAGCATTTGAAGCTGATAGCTCAACAATTTCAACAACTTATTCCTAATTTAATATGATTTTAACTAAAATTCAAAAAATTAATTATAACTATTTAGCAGAAATTCAACAAAAAATTCAAAATCGTTAGAATTATATTTACCATCCTATTATGACTATCGCATTTATATTAGATCCAAACTATCTTGAAGAGAGCAAAAAAAATATTAATGAACCTGATTGTTTATCGATATTTGCAAACTTTATTTCCTTAAAGTATCCTACCGAAGAAGCATCTAGAATCTATGCTGAATTATTAAAATTTCGTAATAAACAAATACTATATAATAATGAATTAATTTGGAATTCGGCTGTTCATCTTAATCCTTCAACTTGGTGGTCTTCTTGGCCTTTATCAGAGCTTCAAAAACTTGCAATTCACATCTTGTCAATTCCAACTTCATCTGCTTCTGCAGAATGTAATTATTCTAATTTCGGATACATTCATTCAAAAACTAGAAATCGGTTAAAAAATAAGCAAGTTAAAAAATTAGTTTATATCTATAGTAATTTAAGAATGTATTACACAAAAAAAGAACATATTATCGAACATAATAAAAACAAAAATATTAGAGTTTTAGATGAAGAAGATATCAATAATGAAAATGCCGAAGAAGACTATATTAATAATGAAAATGCTGAAGAAGATTATATTGATAATGAAAATGCTGAAAATGATTTTAATTTAAATAACAATGATATATTTATTTAAAAATTTTTAACTTTTTTTTGATTTTTTTATATATAGTTATATATGAATGCTATTAACTATATCTAATATATTAAATTTTTGATTTTTTTGCTATTTAACTATATGTATCTGATAGATTAAATTTTTAACTTTTTTTCATTTTTATATATAGTTATATATAAACGCTATCTCTTAAACTGTTTTCCAAACAAATTTGCCTGGAATTTTTAAATTATTTAATAAATGTTTCTGTAACACCAAATTATACTAAGTAAAAGCCCCCTAATGTATCATTTTTTGAAACCGGAAGAACCTGACCAATCATTTTACAATAAAATTTCCAGGCAAATTTGCCTGGAAAACAGTTACATGATTAATTTGAAAAAAGTTGATGTAAATGTTAAAGATCGATGATCCAAAAAAAATTAAAGTTTCTAGTACTAAATATGTACTTTATGTATCACCAAATTATACTAAATCAAAGCCCCCCCTAATGTATGATTTTTCAAAACCGGAAGAACCTGACCAATCGTTCTACATACAATAAAATTTCTTCCAGTTTTGGAAAATCATATATTAGGGAAGCTTTACTTTAGTATGATTTGGCAGCATAGAATTTTTGGATTGTCGGTCTTTAATATTTGCATCAACTTTTTTCAGATTAATTGTATAACTGTTCTCCAGGCAAATTTGCCTGGAACCTGACCAACCATTTTACAGAGATTTCCAGGCAAATTTGCCTAGAAAACAGTTGCACAATTAATTTGAAAAAATTAATGTAAATATTAAAGATTGTCGATTCAAAAAATTAAAGTTCTTGCAAACCGATACATATGTATGTACGTACTTAACTTTTAAATAATGAATAACAATAAGATAATGCGTGCATATTCACATGAAACAATACTGTTGCATCTCGCCTCGCATTACTAAAACAAAGAAAAAGATACATATCTGATTTTTGCTTCTTGTTTTCGTATATACACACCCATTTTAAGTAATTAGCACCCAACATACGGTGTTAGATATCGGCATGTTGGAAGTAAATATGGTATTAAAATGACGCGAATACATATGTTTGTACATTTGTTAGCTTCTCTTTTGAATGTTGGCTAAGTTGCCAATACATTATTTAAATGAATATAAAAATAGAAGCTGTAATTGATGAGAATAATGTTAATGATCATTTCGCTTTAAGAATAAATACTGTAGTTTGAAAGTTCTTACCTCTGGTGATTGTAAACGAATAATGTATGAGTCTTATGGCGAAATAAGATAATTAGCAGATGATTTATCTTTGACTTTTGACAGTTATCGCCTTTTTTTAAACCGCTACATTCTTTTTTTAAAATCAAATTACTTGATACATTCTTTTTTTTTTTTTTTTTTGATACACTCTTTTTTTAAATTTTTTTGACTGCACTTAATTAAAGTCAGTACAACTACTATCTCTTAACTTTCTGTACCATTGAGCAAAAGATATTTGCATCAGTTTTTTTCTAAAAAAAAATACTCATGTCTCTCAATAATGTTATGCCATTTGATGAGGACTCTGATCTGCAATACTCGATTACTTTTGAACATGATTATCATAGTGAGTTGATAATCGATTATGAACTTGTGGATGTCATCGTTAACAATGAAGAATTCATTAGATCAAATTATGTGAATGAAGAGATGGATGTAGGAAATAGTAGTGAAAGGGTAGGGGTAGAGGTAGGGGTAGGGGCAGAGGCAAGGGTAGGGAAAGTTTAAAGGGTAAAGAAAAAGAAACAATCAGTAGTGTACAAGTTAGTAGCATAGATAGTGATATGGCATTAGAATTACCTATATTTAATCCAATATAAAATTTACGACCGCTTCATAAAGGATATCCAACGATTCCCTATGAATATCAACTAGGAATCATTACTCCACTTGCACTTTTCTAATTGTTTTTCACTGATGATTAATTACAGAAAATGGTTGAAAATACTAATACATATGAAATAGCAAAAGGTAGAGAGGGTGGTCGTAACTGAAAGCCGTTGACTTTAAATGAACTAAAAATTTGGTTTGGTTTAATTATCTACATGGGCATTCATCAAATTAGTACAGTGGAAGATTTATGGAATAGAGATGAAAAAAAAGCGACACATGAAATTAGAAGATTCATGAATATAGTTAGGTTTCAACAAATAAAACAATTCTTTCATATTTCATCCCCAGGTGAATTGCATCCTTTTTGGTACTTAAAGTTGAACTATTGGTTTCACATATTCAGGAGGCAGTTAAGAAGTATTATATTCCTGGTTCAAACGTTTCTGTTGATGAAATGATTGTGCATTTTTCTGGGTGAAGTGCCTACACGGTGAGGATGAAAAACAAGCCGACCCCCGAAGGGTACAAATTATTTCACTTTGCGATTGCAGATATACTTGGACATTTTTGTTTACGTTACGTATTAAAAAAAATACATTAGTAGAATATATTTCAGGCCTTAATAATACTGGGTGCATGGTTGCGAATTTGGTTTGTAAGCTTCCTCGCAATAAAACATACCATGTTTATATGGACAATTACTTCTCTAGCATACCGCTCTTTAAATATTTATGTGAAAATGATATTGGTGCCTGTGGCACAGTTCGTACAAATTTGGCTAGATTTTCTAAAGAATTAAAAGTTAGTAAAACTTTAGATTAAAACACGCTTTTAGGTAAAGTAGTAGATAATGTTTTAGCCATTCTTTGGATTGACAATAGTCTGGTAACCATGCTATCTACTATTTATGAAATTTTTAGTGATAATTCGAAAGTTACTCGTAATCGGCGACAGCCACGCGAAACAAGTTCTAATGCAAGTACTGTGTATCATGTTTTTGGAGATGCATATCGTAAAGAATTAGAAATTCCACGAATAATAGATGACTATAACCACCATATGGGTGGAGTTAATATTGCAGATCAACTTCATGGATATTACAATTGCCAACTGACTATTAGACGCACATGGCTTCCTTTATTTTTTTGGCTTTTGGACACTGTAATAGTAAATTGTGTGCTTATTTATTGTAAAGTCACCAACTCAAATATCTCAAGTAAAGATTTCAGACTTAATTTGGCATGGGACCTGGTTAAAGCTATCTTAAGTAATGAAAAAAAAAAAATTTGCTTCATGAGAAAATATTGTCCCAAGCTTCTTCAAAGGAAAAGCGAGCAGCCCATGTGACCAAGAGTTTTGAATTACTCTTAACCCGGTTACTAGACAATGATCATTTGGTAGAATAGAGGGAAAAAAAGAAGCTTGTATCTATTGTCATTATTTAGCACAACGTGGAGAAAAAGCAGTTAATTATGATAATCCTTCGCAAAGCAATTTATAGTGTTGTAAATGTAACGTGCTATTATGTTTCTTTAAAACGAGACCATATTGTTTTAAGGACTTTCATTCTAAAAATTAAAAAGCATAGAGTCTGCAATTTTTCTTTTTTTTTCATTACATACTTATTTCTATTATGTAGCGATTTTCTTGATTACATGTCACGAATCACTTTCAACTTTAGCATTTGCTTTTTGAATTGTAATTCTCAACACTTTTTGCACTAACTAAATTTTGAATTTATCAAAGTTACTTTTATATACATAGTATGTTAAGGGCAAAATAAGAATAAATAAGGTAGAAATAAATAAATAAATAAGGCAAAAAATAAATAAATAAATAAATAGAGTAAAAAAAAAAGGCAGACAAATTAATAAAATTCCGAAATTTCGATACTGTTTGAATAATAAACCGATAAATACAATGAATTCTAAAGGTTAATAACATTGCGTAGTAGGTTCTAACTTTAGTTTTAACACTGGTCCAATTGAGTAGTTCATATTTAAATTATATAATATCTACTACAAATGATTCTTTCACAGAACTTTCTATTCCGGTGATTATGTATGTAGTTATGATTGAGTCAGTTGCATCTACATTATCAGTCACACGATTTGTCATGCAGATCAGGGGGTAAATTTTTTACTATGTAATTTGAGTGATCGACATTCATATGACCGGCTTTTTTTACATAGTAAATTGCAAC